CCAAAACTGAACGTTCCTGCTAGGACGAGTCTGCCGTTGGCCGGCTCTCCAGGGTAGGTGCACAGCTTTGCTGGGGGGACAAGAGGACGGGAGTGAGTTCTCAGTTCAGTTTTTTGAAGAATTGGGAAAATGCAGCAGGAAACTAGAAGCCTCCTCCAATACGGACCAAAGGGATGGACCAGAGACATCCAGATTTCCCCTCCAACCCTAAATTACTCCATGATTCATGCTGCTGTTAAGACTTGCATCATGACCTGCAGCCTAAGCGGGGCTTTGCAGCGACCCTGGCAAGCGCGACGGTGTTTCTGCACAGCTAAAGGATTCTCCTACTGCAAGCTTGAAATACTTTTCTTTGAACCAAGAGTTACGTCGTGCCTGAGCAGAAGAACATCCTTTGAGTCAGCAATCAAACACAGCCAGCATGGAAGCAGTTTCAGCTTTTGCCATCGTTGCCAGTACTTTGCGGAACACAACTGGTGCTTCGTGTCAGGTCACTCATCTCCCACCTTCCCGCGAGGTCACTTTGGATACTGCTCCAACACAGTGAGCTGACAACATCACCGAATAAAGAACTAAATCAAAAGTCAACCCAAAACATACTCACGTGTGCATATCTCCTTTGATCCGTGCCACCTATTATTCCTTCCACAAACAAGGACGTTTCGGGCATTAGGACTTCTCACGTAACCTGGGCGACAGACGTATTCCACCACTGAATTATAGGGAAAGGTGGAAATGCCGTGGTATTTCTCTTTCGGTTCTGCAGATGGGAGACGCGGCGGAGCATCGCAGAGACCTACCGACAGAAACTCCATCAGAAAGTCGCCGGGAGGAAAAGCAGTGGGAGTTCAGGCCTGGTTTGCTCTGAAGGTCCAGGCGAGGACACTTTGGTGGCCTTAAAACTCCTTAAAGCTAGGAACAGAGAGGAGAAGCGCAGTCTGTGACTGGGGATGGCGGAGGCTGGCAGGGACAGGGAGGAGCATCACCCCAGGCGGTCCTGTGCTCCTCACACCTCATCCAGCAGCTTCCAAGGCCAGTCACAAAGTCCCGATTAACCATTTCCTCTCCCCAGTTAGTGTAAATCATTGCACCTTTTTCAGCCGGAATAACTTTACAGCCGTTTTATGCAGAAAGGAAAAAGAGGCGAAGGAAGACGGATTCTGACCACAAAGATTTACAACGTTCTCCAAACGCAAAGGCAACAAGGAAAAGAGAAGGATTCAAGCCTTGCAAACCCCAGGAGAATGTTTTCCTTTGAAGGATCTTACTTCATCCCGATGGACTCATTCACTTACTCTGGACAGCCACGACAAGAGCAGCGGTGAGGAATAACCCAAGGACAGCGGCACGCCGCCTCTGCCCCGCCGGCTCCGAAGCTGGCATCTTGCCTTACTCCAGCCGCCCTGTCCGGAGATCCCCCAGAAGTTACCACATTTGTTTTCTAGGCCAAGTATCTGTAAAAAGAGCGGGGGCGGATATTTACACTCAGGATAACCGTAGCTCATCGGGACAGGTCTCATTTCTCCATCCCTAAGCAGTTCCTACAGCCGCGGGCTGGGGACCAGAAGGTGCAGGAGCTATTGCAACACCCTGGAAGAGAGCGGAGCTCCTCCGCCGCCGATGGCACCGAGGGCTGGTGCGGAGGAGCCGGGCTGCCGGGGCAGAGCCGGGTTCGGACGAGGAAGGCCAACTCCAGCAGACCAGACCCAGAGACAGGAAAATACAAGGTAAACAGGACAAACAATTGTAGACGTTAAGCAATTCCCATCGGCTTTATTCCACTTGTCTCATTTATTTGCATTTTGGAGAATGCAGCTTCTGATTAAAATTGAAAAAAAAATAATAAAAAAAGAAAGACTAAGAGCTCCACTCAAGCCATAACATAAATACTTTGTAGCTTGTCAGGTTCAGCTTAAAAACACTGTCTTGCCAACATAGTGTTATCCCCAGCCAAATATAATACCTGCAGAGCCACGAGTTTATCTATGCCTTCTGGATAAATTCCCCTGAAGCTCCTCTTATGTGTAAAACATTTCGTTTTAGTAATAAATCTCTTGGAAGCAAATTCATAGTCAGACAAAATCCTGCTGGAGACAGGACAGTCCCCTAACAATAAATTACATGCAGAAAGAGAGCGAGCCAGCAGTATCTAACCAAAAAGACACACCAGTTTTGTGCAAATAACATTAACTGGAGTAAAGCTATAAAGCATACAAGCCATTCAGGAGGACGAATTACTTTACAGGATGGAATTCAAGTGCAATTTGGACTAACCTGGCACCCCTAGAGATCAGCAAGAATCCTCTCTGACTTTTGTTATCTCGGATCATCATTTACGAGCCTAAACCCTCCCAACGTTATGTACGCGCCAAGTGCTTATCTTCCTCCTGGAAACGAGTCTGTCTTGATGCTTTCTGCCCTGAACCTACCACTTCTCGTGGCTGTTCCACCCCTCTGCCTCTCCTTCAATCCTCGTTACAGCTCCTGGTTTAATTTGACTTAATTTATTAATCTTTGTGCCTGCTAGAGTTGCAAGAGTTGCTCCTATCCAGTTCCCAAGAGCACCATCGCCTAAAGCTCGAAGCTCTCTTACCTGGAGATGTGACAGCGGTGCACGGAGAGACCCGGCGCGCTCAGCTCTTAACAAGACCAAGCGATGGCTGTCCTCCTCCTGTCCCCCCGCTCCAGGCACCGCAGCGCTGAAGGAGGAGTTACGATACGCCTACACGCTCAGACATGGCTCCATGCAGAAGAGTGTGAATTCTGCAGAAACCAGAGTTAGGCCAGTTGACCCATAAATCATTAACCCCTCCTCTCAGCAAGAAGGAAGTAGTTTATTCAACCCGTAAAGCGACACACTAGAAAACTGAATGCAACCCAAGCAGATGTTGAAATTGTTTGTTTTCTGTGCGGAGCTGCCAAGTCTTTGTTGCAATGACCCTCGCTGAGCAGGACACTGCCCGTTCCACCCTGCAGACACGACACCCAGCCAGCGCGGTCCCCCGGCGATGCCCAGGGACCTCAGGCACGCTACTGGGGCCCTTCCCAAGAGGACTGCTTCACCCTGGGGCACGTCAACCACCAGCTCATCCCTTCAGACCTCAGAAGTCTATGGCCAGCATCCAAAATACAGTTTCTTCATCCAGCTCCACCTAATCCCATTAAAGCAAGACCAGCTGGAGCTCAGCCGCACACGAGGTCCAAGGGAGCATCGTTTCGAGCTGACCACCCTGGTCCATGATGGGAACCCAGCTGCCCTTCGTCTCAGTGAAAGCTGTTCCCGAATCCGACTGTCCCTGGTGGGTCATTTTCCAGTAACAAGAGTTCTGGCAGAAGCTGTAACCATTTGCTCCTTTTGCCCTTTGGCTGCGCGGCTTCATCCAGGCTTGAATCCCCATCAAGAACCCGGTGATGCCCTTTCTACCTCAGGCGGAGCTTCTCACAGGTGTTGCTTTGTTCTGCCACATCTGAGGGTGGGTTTTTTTTGCCAGAGAAATTTACCACATCCCTACACTGAGTGGGATATACGACATTCCTGAAGCTCACCCGAGTCTGTGCCAAAATGCAATGGAACAGGTTTAGTTCTTGCTCTGTAGCACAGGGCAGAAGGCTGCGTCCTGCCCGCACCCCTCGCCGCTCCCGAGCGGGCACTGACCGCCCCTCAACACGGACGAGAATCCAGTTAATCGCAAACACAAACGCAGGCTTTCTAGATTTCTTCCCCCCCCCCCAGATGACTCAGAACAAGTTGATTTATGTGCCAAAAAAAATCAGCAGCTTCCCCACAGGCACCCAGGAGGTTATTTAGCACCTGTGTAGAGCACTCACGGCTGTGAGCATCAGCCGGGGCACCGCCACACCGAGAGCCCTCTCCTGCTCCGACGGCGGCTGAACACCCCCAAGACCTCCTCAGCCTGCAGCGGGACAGACAGGATAGAAGGGGTTTTCCTTGACCCCAATCGAGGTCGCTTCTCTTCAGGCTGCGCCTGGCCGGTGCCTTCGGGACCAGCTGGTTTCCAGCTGCAGATGCTGGAAAGCACAGTAAGGCACACCAGTTGCTGCTTTTTGACTTTTTTTTTTTTTTTACCTGGAAAAAAAATGTGCTTTTTTAAAAAAAAAAAATAAAATAAATAAAAAAAAGGTGTTGCTACTCTAACAGCTCCATGGAAAATCTGATAACCTGAATTCCCATAGCTCCAATAAAAACACCCTTCCGGCTGCTGAGGGACGGGAATGGCAGCGGTAGTTCCAGGGTGCGGGATTCACCGTTTCCAGCCCAACTCCCAAAAGCTGGGGCTGCCTGCCCCCCCCCGACAGACCCGCATCCTCAATCACTGCCCAGAGATTCCCCGAACTCACAGAATGGTTTTGGCTGGAAGAGACCTTTAAGATCACGGAGTCCAACCGTTAACCCAGCACTGCCACGTTACCACTAAGCCATCGCCCTCAGCACCGCGTCTGCACCTCTTTTAAATACCTCCCGGGAGGGCGACTCACTATCTCACAAAACCAGCAAACAACAGATAGTTATAGCAAACCATAAAGGGAAGCAACAGAGGAAACTAAATCTATTTTTGTTTAAAATCTCTTTATTGTAAATAAATGTTCATGGGATATTTATTCTCAAGTGCACAGAGTGCACAACGTACAGCACAAGTTTACATCAACTGCGGGGTTTCTTTCAACCTAAAAACCCCCACACATTAGAAAGCACAGCAAAATTACAAGTAGACGTGTAACATCCATCTCGGTAACCACTAAAGAGAGCGCAGCAGTGGGCAGACAGCGTTCAGGGACGGCGGAGCAGCAGAAGAGGCGGAGGTGGCCCCAGCAGCGCTGGGAGGAGCGGGGCTGAGGGTTTGGGACGTACCGGGGGCGCTGGCAGCGATGCCGCTGCTCCCCCGGCACCCGCTGCCGGGAAGGGGATGCCGTACAGAGAGGTGGCAGCTCAAACGTCACAGCCAGTGTACACAAACTCCAGCTACCCGGCCTGGTTTTAAGCCTTTTCCCCCTTCACTTCCCAGTTTTCCCCACCGCTGGCGGCAGAGGTGGAACAGGTTTTGCCCAAACCATCATTTTTCTCTATAATGACCCATAACGCTGATGGGGCAGCCAGCCCCCGGACCGGCGGTGCAGGTCCCACGGGTGGCTCTGCCACCGCTCGCTGAAGGTGATGGTAGCCACCAGCGCCTCTGCTGATGGAAACGGATTGAGAGAAAGGGAATATAGAAAAAAAAACCCACTCACGGGGGGCAGCAAGCTCGCTTTCACGCCTCCAAACCCACCACCTCCAAATCAGGTGATTTCAAGGAAATACCTGGCACGGGAACCCACCGGCCCGGCCGGGGCTGGGACGACGCGTGGGCTCGCTGGCATCGCCCCAGCCCGGCCACCCCCGGGACACCACAGCCCCTCACAGCAGGTACCATTCACCCCTGGGGTGACGATGACAATCACAAATCTGCTGCTGCTCTGCTCTAGACACGTGTATTTACACCTTTTGAGAGCCGAAGCACAGGAGGAGAAGGCGATAGTGCGGCTTTAATCAAAGCAGCGAGGCACACGTGCTGCCGTCCGCAGAGACGGCCGAGAGGCTCCGTCCCACCGCCCAGCAGACCACGGCCAAAACAAGGACCCGCTCGATAGGAACAGGGGACCCACAGTCAGCGATCCAAAACTGCAGACCTGATTTTTTTAGCAGTGATTAAAAAAAAAAAAAAAAAAGTTAAACCGCCAACACATTAGCAGCTACATTCATGAATCCTGGAGGGTAAAAATACATATTTTTGTCTCCTTACAGCCATTAACTACTCAACGATACAAACATCATTAACTCCTCAGCAAGTTATTACAGCATATTGTGTGTAAACATCCCACAGTACATTTCTACTCCTTTTTTCCCGCAGGGCAGGAGGTTTCTGGGTAGGAGCAGCCACCCCCACGCGGTGCGGGTTTGTGCGTTTACAGCGTTACTGGAGAGCGACAGCGAGTCTTACCAGGCAACAGCCTAGAAATCTCTTCCTTCAACACATTTCTTTTTTTCTGGCTTATTTCTAAGCGCTGTAACGTTTAAAACCAAAGAACAAACAGTGCTGCTCTAGGAACAAAACTAATACAACTCAGTTTCTCACCCACTGAATTTTTCTCCCGCCGTGGTGCAATGGCTTTAGATCAACACGGGCTTCTGCTCCTCAGAAATCCTAAGCGGTCAGGAGTAGTGCCTGGGCCTTCGCTGTGGCCCTCTCTATCTCCGCTTTATCAAATCAAAGCTCTGGGAGTGCTTAAAACAACTGGGTTTCAGCCCAAAATCCCCAGATAAACCTCAGGCTTCCGTGCTGCTGAGCTCCTGCGCAGCCAGGGCTGGAGCGCAGACGTTTCTCAAG